CTGCCCATCTCCCTCTGCCTCCCATGGGTTCATTCTGCACCCTGGGAGAGTAGAGTAAACCCTCACGTTCCACACAGGGCTGCCATTCAAAAGCTTCCTGTGTCTTCTCTTTTCCTCGTGACTCCTCTTTGCTCAGACAATCAAGAGTAAACCCGTCAGCATAGCGTTCTGGGGCTCTACAATCCCCTCTTCCCTTCTCCAGCTTTCTCCCTCCAAGGACGCTCTTCCCTGGCCCATACTGGTGGATTCCAATGCCAGGCACAGCAGCGCACACCTCTAATCCCAGCACTGAGAAGCCTGAAGCACAAGGATCACTGCAAGCTCAAGGGCACCCTGAGCCCCATTTTGAGACCCTGTCTCAAAAAACCAAAAACAAAACCAAAGAAGAAACAAAACAAAACTGGTAGATTCCATGTCCCCTGCTCCCCACAGCTTCCCCTCCATGTCTACTCTCGCACTTGCTCAAAACCAGCTGTCACCTTCCTCTGGAAGCCCACCTCATGCTGTACTTTCTCCAAGAAGACTGGTGGTCAAGGCACCTGACATTTCCACAGGGAAAGACTGGAGCTTTCACTGCGCCGTGTATTGTGGATATTCCACACAGAGACAGCAGCCAATGGTGAGAGGGGCACAGCTGTTCTGGCAAAGAAGGATGGCTAAAGGAGCAAGGATAATGAGGAATTAGTATGGATACCTCTTGACCTTCGACGTTGAAAGTTGAAACCAACAACCAAAAAGCCAAGTGCAGCCTAAAGATGTGTTTGGTTTGGCCCAGAGTATTGTGTGGAAGTTGGCTACTAAATCTATTTTTTTTTTTTAAACTGGAACTCACACAAAAATTTGAACTTATGGTTTCTATTTTAAAAACTGTAACATCTGGCAGTGGGAGACTTACATTACAGTAAATTTTTGCTACTCACTCTGACAGTCACCTGGGTAAACATTTTCCATTTTCCCATATTCTGTGGGTCAATTGAGCAGAGTTGGCCTGGACACCTTAGCTGATCCCTGTGGTGATCAGGGCTGGAGGGCCTGGGAGAGCCTTGCTCACGTATCTTTCCCATGTGCGCTCTGAGTCAAGGGTCGCCGCATCCCAAGAGCAGCAGAGCAAGCACGGACACGCAAGCACTTGTCACCCTTTGAACCACAACTGATGTCAAGAGCAAGTCTCAGGACCAAACTCAGATTCAAGGCTGGAGAAATGGACCCCAAGTCCTGCTACAATGAACTACAGTCACCATGCAACAGCGGCCTGTGTGCAGGACAAGGGGATGACTGGTGTAGCCAGTTTTGCCATCTGGGACTGCACAGGCGACACTTAACCAGCTGCAGATGGGTAGCTGTAGTCTTCTTTGGGTGGAGGACAAGCCCTCTAGGCGATGACCTGAATCTCACTGCCCTCTGCCACCAAATCGTTCATCTAGGCAAGTGGTTTTACGGTACACCTTGACCCCTGTGGCCACTTCAGCCTGGATCATCCAATCTCCTGGTGTTCTTGGGGAGCCCCTCCCCGCACCACGAGCAAGAAGAGCCCAAGGCCAGCCTGCCGCAACCCTTCTGGTTACTATTACTTTCCCCTGGTACTCCTACTTTGCCCAGCCAAAAGCTTCTTGAAAATCACTGTGAGGTCACACCAGGAGACCGAGAGCTCTAAGAATGCATTATCGAAGACCTCCACAAGGAAGTGTAGAAGCTCAGAAAGTATTAACGAGTGACCACAGAGAGTGTCAAAGAGAAACAGCACAGGGCGTGGGATCTCAGTGCTGCCACTGGAGGCACTTTTGACTCCCCCAGTAGTCCTAAAATTACTGTGGCCTCGGCCACACCTAGACAATAAACTGAGAATCACAGAGCAAGGGGCTGGACCAGGAATATTCCTAAAAGTTTCCCCACTAATTCTAACCCACAATAAAGTGAGAATCGCTAGCATTTGGGTCATTACTGTTTCAAAAGTATAAGCAGACAGATTCAAAAAGATGGATTTGCCAGCTTAGCAGCTGCCAAAAGAAACTCCAAGTGGGAAAGAATTCTTAAAAATTCCTTGAAAAGGGGCTGGTGAGATGGCTCAGTGGTCTAAAGCACCTACTTAGAACAAGCCTAGCAATGCACAGGGACCGCGGTTCAATCCCCCAGCACCACATGCCAGCCAGCCCCGCCCTCCGGTGGGCTGAGCTGGCCACACACACACACACACACACACACACAAATAAATAAATTTTTTTAAAAAATTCCTTGAAAAAAGAAGGTACTGGGCAGGGGAGATAGTTCAGTGACTTAAGCGCCTGCCTTCAAGCACAAGATCTTGGGTTCAATCCCCAGTACCACAAAGAAGGTGCTAGTGCACTTCAGGTGGCTAGATTATCTCTAGTTCCTTGACTCAAAGATAACTTTAAAAAAAAAAATTGATTGGTACAGGGTCTTACTACGCAGCTCAGACTCATAGTGATCCTCATATCTCAGCCTCCCCAGTGCTGGGATTACAGGCAAGTACCACCTCAGTCAATTGGGCTAGTGATCTGCTGAGATCTAACGAGATGCTGTCTCTGACTGAATCATTACTGTCATCTCAGCAAAAGGCATTCTGCTGAGGATTATCTGTTGGTACCAGGCTCACCAATTTTACTCTTTTTAAAAAATCGTATGGAGAAAAAGGTAAAACAAAACTTCATAACAAAATAACAGGAGAATAACAACAGCTAATACATTAAACGTTATCTTTAAAGTAGTTGCTCAGGGTACAGAATATGGGCATAAAATTTCTCTAATTGATATCAGCACAAACCTTCCTCTTTTTTTTGCGGAACTAGGGATTGAACTCAGTCCCTTGCACCCTTGCACTTGCCAGGGAAGCGCTTAGTCCACTGAGCCATCTCCCCGGCCCAACCTTCCTTTTTAATGAACTAAGAGACACTAATAACATAACTACCTGACTTGCATTTTTTTCTCTTTTCCTTGTTATCTTTTCCACTTTCATCCCATCCTAGTTCCTTTTTCTTTTGAACAATTTCTTCCCATTTCACAATATCTAGTGTACATCTTAGACTTTATTTATTCTTTCAGTTTCTCACACCAGGGAGACAATATGATGTTTACACATGTGAGTCTGATTGATTTCACCTCATGTATGGTTTCGAATTGTATCCATTTGCCTATTTTTATGTCTGCTTCCCTGAGAAGGCCTTTGGAAGATACTGAGCTATAAAAGACCTGACTCCTGGAGATGCCATAAGCAAAAGAAACCAACCAGAGTTCTCGACTGCTGTGTGTCCTTCCATTTCTTGAGGTCTCAAATTACTATTATTACTGCATTCTTCTTTTATTTAGACAAAAAGGTATAAAGTACATGGAAGGAGGTCATCAATATTCTCAGATGAAAATTACTTCCTTCCCACTGAAGATTCATTATTATGGGAAGACAGGCTGGCTTGGGACACGGCTGGGACTTCCTCCTCCTTCTTGGCCTGCTCTCATGAGAGTCCTGGGGCAAGGCACCATCCACCTGCTGGAAGCAGCCACACTTCTGCGGGAGACCCACAGGCCGGAGAAGAAGCCCAGCACACCAGGTAGGGCTCTAAAGCCCCGCTTGTTGCCCTGTGGGCCTCTCCAGCAGGTTCCAGGGGCCATTGCTAGGTGCCCAAGCATGGTGAACTTGAAGCAGGAGATGTGCGAACGGCAACGCCGCTGGGCAACTGGGTGTGACCCGTCAATCACAGAGATTCAGGGCACGTGCACAATACAGCTTCTGAGCCCTGCACCAGTACCAAGCGGAAAGTGGCATCTTCAGTCCTTCTGTCACAAAATCAACCCTGTTTTAAATGAGACTAGCTGGCCTTCACAGCAGAATGGGGCAGCAACCCTGCGAGCCTTTTCTCCACCCATCCTGCACTCTGCTGCTGGACTGTGCTTCTGTCTTAGTTACTCTTCTCTCCTTGCTGGGACAAATACCTGACACTCAAAATGAAAGAAGGAAAGGTTTACTGAGCTCACAGTTACTGGAGGTTTCAGTCCATATTCAGCTGGCTCCAAGGCAGAGCAGCACAAGGCAGATGGCAATCTTTCAGGGAGGTGGCAAAGAGCAAGAGCACAAGGGAGCAGTAGCAGCAGCTCCAGCAGCTGGCTTCTCTTCCCACCTTACATTATTACGCAGATTACCTGCCCCAGGGCAGGTGCAGCATCTACACCTACAATAATCAAACTCCAGAGGCCGCCCCAGGACTGCTTGAGGCATGGGGGACACCTAGACACAGACTATAACAGATTCTTTTCCTACTTTAACTGGCCCACACTCCGCAGAACTCTTCTCAGAGTACCTCTTCCTTCTTCCCTTGCCGGTAATACTTTTAATACCTTCAATAAATGTAAAATTTCTACGTTTTTCTGCTTGCCTCGTCCAAATCTTTGAAGAGGACAAGAAGAGCCTGGAAGGGCGCTGGGCAGCCCGGCATCCGTCAGCCACTCCCCTCTCCCCTGTGAGCTCTGTGTAGCCGAAGGACTCGCCCCGGACCAGCCGCTTCCCCAGACGTTCTGGCCGGCAGAGCCAAAGGGAGCGGAGCGACTCTGGAGCTCATCTGCTTGGAGCGGCGCGCAGGGGAAAGGCTGCCTCCGCGCTCTCCGGCCTCGTCCTGCAGCCCCTTCCCCGGCGGCTCAGCGCCGGGACCCCCTAATGTTTTCCCGTCGCCACGAAGCTCAGTGCGGGGCGCACAGGCCAGTAGACCCCGGCTGAGGTCGCGACTCACTTGGCGCCTGCGGCTCGGCCCTCCCCGCGCTTGGGACGTGGGCTTCGAGCTGGCCACGAGTGACAGCTCTCCAAGTGACCCCAAGGTGCAGGGCTGCGCCCCAGGAGCTGTGCGCCTTGCGACTAAGCAGCCAAATCCGAGAAAACCCGGGCTTCTCGCACCGCCTGCCCCTCCCCCCGCGGGACCCCAATTCCAGCAGCCGGCGCTGTCTTTGCGGGTTTGCGCTCTCCGGGGCGGGAGGCCCTGCGGGCGTCGCCCTCTTACCTCCCGGGTGGGCAGCTCCTCCGGGGGTTCAGGGCTCAGACGCTGCACCCCAGAGCTGAGCTGAACCCCGGGCATCGCGATGCGGCACGCAGGGCAGGGATGTGGGCGTCGCGGCGACCCGAACGGACTCTGTCCTTCCCGATCGCGGAGGCCCCCGCTGCGTTCCGCCTTCACGTGACCGTCTCAGGGCGGCGGCCAGCGCGACGGGTCCCCGGCTCAGGCCCCAACACGGGGGCGGGACGTGCGGACCGAGGCAGAGCTGGGCTGGCCTCAGGCTGCGCTGGGCCCCACCGTCGGAGAGCACCGGCTGTGTCCCGGAGCTGGCGGAGGGCGCCTTCCCTGAGCTGTCAGGGAGTAAAGGGGCTGCTTGAGGCGGGCGTCTGCGAATACTGGTTCCCTCCTGTGCTAGAGGAGTCGAGCAAGAACAGAGGATAGACCCTACGACCCACCCGAGAGGGCAGTGAAAGCCTACGGGAAGCGGGGCCCACCCTTCAGCCTTCTCCTAGGTCACCCTCAGTTCCAGCCTGGTCTGAAACTCAAGGTTTGCCAGAAATGCTCAATTTTCAAGAGAAAGCACAAATTTTCATGAGCCTATTCCAAATATTTTTAAACTATTGGTCATGAATTTAAAATATAATGATAAAAACTTGGGAGCCAATGCTTGCGTTTCCCATGCTGGCAAGGGCAAGTGATCCTGGGTTGGCACTAAATTCATTGACCTCGTCCTCAGGCAGGGGCTTTCTGGGGGGGCTGTGGCTGGCCTGGTCACCTAGCAAGGGGCAAGTCTTCCGCCCTGGTGGGTCCTTGGAACTCCACTCTAGGCACTGATGGCAGGCAAGGTAGGGTGCAAAGACCGTGCCTGGCTGAGGGTCCCCAAAATTCCCCTCCTCAACCCTGGGACTTTGAACCTACTACTTTGCATGCAAATGAGACTTTGCAACATAATTCAGGTTACTCAAATTAAAATAGGGCAACTTAAAATAGGGCACTCATCCTAGATTATCTAGGCTGGGTCCCAGGTCACAGGAGTGCTTGAAACCAGGGGAGGGAGTCAGGAGGTGAGGGATGAGAGGGATGAGTCCCCGTGGGACACTGTGTGCCTGGTTCCAACATTGCTGCCTCAGTTATTCCCAATTCTGCAAGGGGCTGGATTCTGCCACAACCTGAATGATCTTGAAAGCAATCTTCTTCCCAGAGCTCCAGGAAGGAACCGAGCTGCCGACACCTTCATTATAGCCCTGAGGGCGCCTTCCCTGAGCTGTCGGGGAGTAAAGGGGCTGCTTGAGGCGGGTGTGTGCGAATACTGGTTCCCTCCTGTCCTAGAGGAGTCGAGCAAGAACAGAGGATAGACCCTGAGCAGAGATTCCAACCCCGCCTTGTGGGCTCTTGGCATTTGGACTGTGAGATCATAAGTGCATGCTATTTTAATCTCCCAAATCTGTTATGCATCTATAGGCGCTTAAGGCACATGGCTGGCCTGCATTTCATCACGCAAATTGAGCTCCAGGCTCTTCAGTGCAACCGAAAGTAGCCTTTGCTTTATCTTCTTGCTGATCTCCGTATTTTCCATGAAACCAGAGGAACTTAGGTTCATCTAATTGCAGCTAGCGTTCTGCCCCTCTAGGTCACAAGCACTTGTTGAAGAACGGCAGGAGAGCTACTTCTGGTGGATTGCCAACTGGTGGTCAGCTTGCTACAGTAGCCAGGTGAGCTGAACTGGCATGTGATGGGCGTGGGAGGCTCCCCTGAGGATTGCCTCCATCCACAGCGTAAGAGGCAGAACTGGAGAAGCTGTAGAGAGGCTGTTAGGGAAGCTGCTTGGGAGCTGTGGGAGCTGCTGGTTCTCTTGGGCTGGTCTGCTGGGGGATCTTGTCATGCTGGCTTTCCTGGTGACCTCAGCTGTTCTCATCAGAGGAGAAGCTGGGGCCTTCATTGTCCCTGAGGATGGCTGTGGTTCATTTTGGGGGAGCTCTGGTCCTCATCTTGAGCATCGTTTCCTGGCTCTGCAGGGAAAGATGGTGCACTGTTCAGTCTCCTGGAGAAGCTTGTCAGGTTGGCTTTCCTAATGGGAACTCAGCTGTCCTTATTGCAGAGCTCGGGCCCTCACTGTGGCTGAGGACGGCTGTGGAGCTTTTCAGGGGAGCTCTGGTTCCTACTCTGAGCATCGCTTCCTGGCTCCAGTCAGACCCCCCAGCCTGCTAGCACAGATCCTTCACCCGGCACAGACTTTCTAGCTCCCACCACTGACCGTGGGCCTTCCCCGTGCAGATCTGTGAAGCGGGCCTGCATGAGACATTGTCATGGGCTCTAGGCCTCCAGCTGGACTTGTGGGAGGCATTTTTGGCTCTAGGTCTCCTAGACTCAACCAGGATGGCACTGTGGGATCTAGACCCTTAACTGGAGTCACCAGTCTTTAGTGTGTGAACAGATTTCCTGTACTCTATATATGAGTGTTTGGATAAGTCATTATAAAATAATCTTATAAAATGTGCCCCGTATTGTACTTTTCCCCTTGCAAAAAACCCCAAACTGGAATACTACTTCTTTGAAGCCGGGGTTCCTGCACAGAGCAGTCCTATAGCAGTGGAAATGGTGCAGCCAAATCCATACCAAAGAGCCAAAGATCTGTGTCTACAGATTTCTGTTCTTTCTTTCTTTCTTTTTCTTTTTTTCTTTTTTTTTTTTTTTTTTCTTTCAGTACTAGGGATTGAACTCAGAACCCTGTGCTTGCCAGGCAGGTGTTAATTCTACTGAGCTATCTCCCTAGCCCTATAGGTTTCTAAAATAATTAATTTTTTGCAACTATTATGCAGATTACATAAAGCTTTATATGTGTTTGTGCCAAAAGACAAGAGTTCTGTTTATGTCTTAAAGGCTACTTCATACAATTGTTTTGTGACAGGATCTTTTATACTGTTTTTTTTTTAACTTTTTCCTTTTTAAAAAATAAAATAAAAAGTAGTTCAAAAACTTGAAATGATACAGAATTTCACCACACAGAATGATAGGGATTCAACCACAGTTGTTATGGTGCATATTGTCATGTTTTATAAAATGTTAATGCTTAACTACACAGGTGTGCATCTGTGTGCAAGTGAAAGGACAGCCTGCCCTACTGCAGATCTGACCCACGGCCACATCCACCCCAGCCCTGGCATCCCAGACTTAGGTTAGGCCTGCGCCCCAGTTTGTCAAAGGAAGACAGTTTGGTCTAGGCCAGTCTTAGCAGGCCAATTTCTGTTGTTTTTCTTTCTTTCTTTCTTTCTTTCTTTCTTTCTTTCTTTCTTTCTTTTTTTCTTGGATACAGGGTCTCAGCTAATAAGGAGAGAGGTGTGGACAGGGCTGTGTGACCTTCAGGCTCAGAACTATGTCAGCGATGTGATACGGGACAGGGCGATTGGCAGGGATGACAGAAAACATCCTGTAAAATCCTGAATGCGTGTGGGGAGGCAGCACCCCACAAGGAGTCTAATCTCTCGCATGAGGTTGATAAAAGAATGTGTACATTCTATTTTTGATAAATTCATAGAATATTTTTCTGGAAGGGCACATAAGCTATCATCAGTGGTAACCCTTGAGCACACGGCAGGAGGGAAAACGTAAAGGGAGGGAACTTTTGCTTCTATTTTTGTGTTTGTTTATAAGATTCCATTTTAAACATGTCTAGATTCTTTGTGTTTCATGTAGTAAAATTAACAGGGACATAGGAATAAAATTACAGGTCAGTTTTGTCCTTTTCATGAAAAGACGCTTTCTGTGATGAGAGAAATAAACCAGAAAACAATGCCTGAGCGTGCCTGTTCCCAGGGGCATCTCTGCTGCTGGTGATGAAGAGGCAGGCTTGTGTGCGGAGCCTTTAGGGGCCCCGTGTCACAGAGCACAGCCCACAGCAGCCCTCTAGCTACCATTCTAGGCGGCTTGGGCTGCCATACCCGAGGGTCACGGGCAGGCAGCTTAAGCAGCAGAGAATTACTTCCGGCAATGGAGGCCCAGATGCTGGTAGAGCCACTCTCTCCAGTTTGTAGAAAGCATTCCTCCCCGTCTTCCTGCAGTCTCCCTGTGTGTGTCTGCCACCATTTCCTCCTCCTATAAAGGAAGTTGTATTAGATTATAGCTCACCCTAAGGACCCCAGTTTACTTCTATTACCTGTCCGCAAACACAGTCATATTCTGGGATACCGGGGGTTAGGACTTCAGTATATAAATTCTGGGGAGCACAGAATTCAGCCAATCACAGGTACTGATCATTTTCCCCACACCAGAGCCAAGGAAATAGAGGCTCGGAGAAGAGAATCAACCCACCTTAGGCTGCACAGTTGTTGGTGGCACTGGGATGACCAACCCGGACCTCCCAGCAAAGGGGTCATTTCCACTCTCCTCTGCAGCTGCGAGGGAGTTTCAACTGAGAATATGAGGAACATCCCTGCTGGCTGAGAATTCTGCCTAACTGTATTTGTTAACTGTACTCTAGAATCTAATGGGGTTTTGTGGAACTGTTTTCCCCCACTCAGCTGTGTTTGCTCAGCCCTTCCTTCTCAGGGAGGCACATTCTGCTCCACCCTCTGCCCCTCTTCACCCCAGCCCTGCCCTCTTTTTAAATTTTTTAGACAGGGTTTAACTATGTAGTCCAGGCTGGCTTTGAACTCACTATGTAGTATAAGCTGACCTTGAATTGTGGTAATCCTCCTGCCTCAGCCTCCTGAGTGGTTGGCTTAGAGGTGTGTACCCTCACTTCTGGCTCTAACCCTACCCTCTCACCCATCTCCTCCCTTTCATGGACCATATCACACACTCACTTTTCCTCTCTTGCATGGGCAGAATGTTATGGATTGTGTCTAGCTGTCCCCCCAAAAGTCTCATGCAGTCATTGGAGTGGCTTCTAGAGTTTGTGAATTAATTCATGATCCAATGCTGGGATTATGGGTGTGAGTGCTACACACCTCCCCAGGGTGGATAATCTGCATATAATATGGAGAAGGGAGAGAGACTTGCTAACGGCCACAGCTGCTGCCCCTCCCTTTGCTCTTTTCTGCCACCATGGACTCTACTGCCCTCTGCCGTGTGCCACCCTGCCTTGGCACCAGCTGAGTATGGACTGAAACCTCCACTAACTGTGAGCTAAATAAATTTTTTCCTTCCTTAATTTTGAGTATCTTGTCCCAGCAATGAGGGAAAAGTAACTGAGACATACATATTGTTTATTATCTGTCTCCAGCTGGTAGAACATAATCTCTACATCTGGGAAGATGTTATTTTACTATAGGTATTTTTCCCAGCACCTAAAAATGCTTTTCAATGATATTTGTTAAGTAGGCCTTTCTAGAAGGGACATGAGGTGGTTTCCATCAAAGCCTTGCAGTGACCCACAAAACAGAGGAAGTGTGAGTTTCTGGGCTATAGCAGCTTGGCAGGAGAATGTTCCTCCTGAGGGCTCCCTGTGCCCACAGGTGGGGTTTAGGGAAGAAGATTGGACCCTAGGGCACAATTGCTGACTTCCTGTTGGGCGGCAGAGTCTAGTCTAGTCCGAGGAGGTGGCCACGGGGTGTGACCTGGAGGCGCAGATCTCCGGCCCCCGCTGGTCCCTTCTGTCTCTTTCCTGACCATAATGACGTGAGCAGCTTTTCCTCCACCAGGGTCCACCACTGTGTATCCCACCTTGCAGCCAGCCAACCACTGGCTGTAAACATGAGCCACACTAAGCCTCCCTTCTTTCAGGTGGTAGCTGTAGGGTATTTGTCCAGCAAGGAGGAAAGTGACCAAGAAGACGGCAAGAAGTCATTGCTCTCAGGTCCCTCCTGCCCCCGCCCCAGCCCAGTGTGAGCTCCAGGGCCTTTTCTGCAGCAGACCAGCATGCTGAAGGTGTCTGTTACTTTTTATCATTGTTGGGACAAAATATTGACACCCAAAACTGAGAAAGACAGGTTTATTTAGCTCACAGTTAGTGAAAGTTTTATTCTATATTTTGTTGGCTCTAAGGCAGACAGCAGCAGTTTATGGGGGCAGAAAACAGCAGAGCAGAGGAGGAGCAGCGCCTGTGGTATCTGTCCAGCCTCTCCTCCTTCTATGCTGACTGTGAAGACCAGAGCTCTTCCAAGAGAGTGGCAGTGGCAGCCGTGATGCCGCGGCTCCTCCAATGAAGTGATGTGGCTGCAAAATGGCACGGCGAGGATTGGACTGCCTCCAGGAGGTGGTGCGCAGAGGCTTCTCTCAACCCCTTTACGTACCCTAGAAGTGCTGAGTCACTCTGGGGCATGGCTTCCAGCCCCAGGATGTGGAAAGGGATCCAGTCAAGCTTTTGACATCTCCAGTTGACACAGTGTGTCAACCACCACACTCTACCCCTTGTCAACTTGGCAACTATGTATATACTTTTTGGAACCAGTCTCTAAATATAAAGACCTGCTTATTAACAATTTACAAGTTGGACATTATAACACACAGCTTTAGGAGTCTTTAAGAATCACTATTAAGTCTATCAACATTATATGAGAAGCATAACATTTTGCCCAGCCTCCCAAAGATCCATGTACACCTCTTTATGTAAAAAGCACGTTAGTCTATCTGCAAGAGTTGTCAAAGTCCTAACAGTTTTAAAGCCTTTTTACCAAGATGTCACTGTATGTGAAGAAGGAAGTCCCTGCCCCTCCCAAAGCTGAAGCCAAAGTCAAAGTTTTAAAGGCCAAGAAGGCCATGCTGAAAGACATCCTCAGCCACAAAAAGAAGATACAAATGTCACCTGCCTTCTGCCATCCCAACACACTGCAGCTCTGGAGGCAGCCCAAATACCGTGGGAAGAGCACCCCCAGGGGAAACAAGCTTGACCACTATGCCGTCATCAGGCTCCCCCTGACCACAGAGTCAGCCATGAAAAAGATCGGGGACACCACCACACTCATGTTCATTGTGGATGTCAAAGCCAATATGCACCAAATCAAACAAGCTGTAAAGAAGCTGCATGACATCAGTGTTGCCAAGGTCAGTACCCTAATCAGGCCTGATGGAGAGAAGAAGACATATGTTCGACTGGCTCCCGATTATGGTGCATTGGATGTTGCCAACAAAGTTGGGATCATCTAAACTGAGTCCAGCTGGCTAATTCTAAATATGTACTTTTTTCCTCATAAAAAAAAAAGTCCTAACAGTTTTAGTATTATTGAAAAGTCTAAGTCTCAAGTCTCTTTTAAGAGCTAAGGCAAACTCTTAGCTGTGAGTCCCTGTACAAATGAAGTGTTAAACACTTTAAACATTTAAAAGTATAAGATAAACATTATTATTATAAAAGGCATACACAGCAGGATGCAAACCATTGGGACCGAAACAAGTTTAAAATCTAGAAGGGCAAACATTTAAGTCTTGTAGTTTTCTGTGGTACATCTGAAGCAACCTGTAATGAGTTGTGAGCTCGAAAAGTCTTACATGGCTCTACCCCTAAGGCACTTCTGCTGGTAGCTCTCGTGGCTTTTTGGGGAGGGCTGGCTTTGTTCTCTCTTTGTAGCTCTCCTCAGACAATTTATGTTTTTCGGCTTTTTTAAACTTTTGGAGTTTCTACTGAATAGGCTTTTTATTTTCTGTTTTACACACTGCCCTTCCAGGGGCATGCTGCTCCCAGGGATGCACTGCCTGGCCTCCCCGGCCTTCTGAAATCTAGATGGAAGCCCTTTTAACCTCACAACCCCTGCATTTTGAATGTACCTAAACCAGCGCCACGTGGGTGATGTCAAGGTCTGCTGGCAGCTGGAGCAGTAGCCAGGCTTTTTTTTTTTTCCCTCTTGGCTGTAGAGGTCAAGCGTCTGGATTGCTGAGCACCCTGACCCTGATTTTGGGAACAAATTTTTTATACCAGCACCATTCTGAAATCTAGTGTGGCTGCTGCCTCTGTTCTGGATCAGGGGCTCTGTGGCTTTTTTCTCAAAGCAAAGTCTCTCACTCTTGTGATTTTGAGGCTGGAAAGGGCAAGAACCTGTCACCTCCTGTGATGCCCACAGGATATCTGTTTTACTTTTTTGTTTTTCCTGGTAATGGAGATCTCAGCCTTATCTTTGTAGTCTACAGCCTTTTTGGTGGTTTTTTTTTTTTTTTTTTTTTTTTTGAGACAGGGTCTTGATAGGTAGTTCAGGCGGACTTTGGACTCACTATGTGGCCCAGGCTGCCTCAAACTCACGCCAATCCTCCTGCCTTGTCCTCCGGAGTACTGGGATTATAGGTGTGTACCACCATGCCCAGCTCTGTGTTTTGTTTTCTTAACCAGTCGCAATTTTGCAGGGCTCTTCAAAGCACTTTTAGGTTCACTAATGTTCTAGAAGGAGTCACAAAACACTGAAAGCTGCTGGGCTCACAGCTACACTTTATCACAGTGAAAGGGGGCAGTGAAACGTAATCTCCTCTTCTGGTCCCAGTCAGTCCAGGATAAGATCACTTCCTTCCAGCCATTAAGTATGACAACGAACAGGGATGACTGCTGGCCCAGGAAGTTTACCCAAGGTTCTGGCCCCCCGGGGGTTTTCACTGGGTCTCTATCACATACTGTCCACGTGGCTGACCTTTCGCCTCCAGCCTCTCTCTTAGGTTGGCATAATTCCTTTTCTCGAACTTCTCTGGAATTTAGAACTAATACTTCACGATGCAGAGTCCCCACAGAAACATGAACACTTCTGTCTGGCAAGATGTTGCAGGCACCTAGAGGTGACATTTTAGTAGCTGAGGCCAGAGGTCAGCTTTCCCTTTGACCAAGGTTGGTGCTTCCCTAGGCATTTATACCAACATTTCTGCTTGCAGGTTCACTGCTCTTGCTAGTTGTAAAGAAAACCAACCAAAATGTCCATTAAGAAGAGACTGGGGTCCCATTAATATATAATTAATACCTGTTAATAAAAGCTTTTTTTTTAATAAGAAATTTCCATTACATTTGAAACAGTGCAATTGCTACCAAGTTATTTTATGCCTCCTTCCTCTCCTCAAAAGAGAGGAATCAACTAGGTTACCTTCACGCAATCAAGTACTGTTCAGCTATCAAAGAACTGGGAATCCCTCTCTATACTAGGAGTGATGATCAGGGTATGTTAAGTGAAAAGTTAAGGTAGAAAAAGTGTGCATGTGTATGGCATATTGCCATTTGTCTAAGGGGGACTGGTATGAACACATAAACATATTCATTCATATTGGAAACTGATTCCCCATGGTGAATGCATTTATTATGTAATACAAACATACCCTAATAAAAAACAAACGGAGAATATACTACAAACAGTGTTAAAAATATTATCTCTGGGGGCCGGGGAGATGGCTCAGTAAAATAAATGCTTCCCTGACAAGTATAAGGGCCTGAGTTCAATCCCTGGTTCCTCAAAAAAATA